GTAGCCAGTTTTATAAAATAATGAACCTTGTGGGAAGGGCATATCTTTCATAGGATTTTTCAAGAGTCTGTACATATATATGTAGTAGTCCTAGTTTACATCCCAGTACGGAAGCCTCGTCGGGCTTCAAGGTATTCCAACATAATGGTTGTCTCACACTCTTCTGCACAGTTAGTGATTGACCATCCTTCATTTTTTGTAGAGCCAGGCACTACTTAAGTCGTCACATTTGATATTTCCCTCCTTTTTTCCAAACTGCTGAGACCGGATTCAATATTCTTATTCTTTGTGTCGCGCTATTCACACTTCCATTTAATAATTTTAGAAAATGCTAAAATTTATTCAAGGCACTTTATGATAATGCCTTTATGAAAAGGAAATACCAAGCAAACATTGTTTAATCAAAACTGGCGTGGCCTTTGATGTGGTCGCAGTTTCCTTTTGTTGTATAGATGTTGTTTGACCTTGCTTTGGCAACTTGGTCATATCGGTAGGAAGTATCCTAGAGTAACTCACCTAATCCAGAGTCCGTAGTATGCATGATAATTTCCAGAGTCAGACCGTGGAAATGGTACATTCCCAGATGTTTTGCCCAGGGCGGAAGGAAAGATATCACGATTGCTTACCAGACAGTTGGTCAAAGGATTGGCTTCCCTGGTTTCTTTTGACGAGTTGTAATATGGTGATAAGAATAACAAGACTCACTGACGGTGTCGCCGAAAGGTCTGGGAATGTACCACGTCCGTGGTCCGACTGGAAATTATCATGCATACTATGGACTCCGGACTAGGTGAGTTCCTCTAGGTCTTCTCACCAATCTGACCAAGTTGCGAAAACAAGGTCACGCAATGTTTGTTTAAAAAGAAACATCCACAATACTAAAATACTTCGTAAATAAATATCTTCAATCGTTTGCAAGCCAATTAACTAATCCAGTTCATCTACTCTTGTGATATTTTTCATTTATTTTTAAACATTTTTTTTCCAACTAATTAAGGATCACGTTCCCTCCGACGTGTATCGAGGCCAGCTCGATGGGTCCTCTACTGCTGCCTTCCATTAAGTTATCAAATCCCAAACAGCCCTACATTGACTCTCAGCTAATCGGATCTCAGTGGCAACTGTGGCTGGGATCTTCAACTTCCGCCCTCTCCGCTCCGATAGTGATCGCTACAGCCTTTTCAAATACTTCCAAAGTTATCAGCGCCAAAATATTGTGAGTAACTATACTATCCTGGACGGCTAGTTTACAAAACGGCTATATCACCTCATATATTTTAAGATTATTTGGATAGAATACTATGTTTTAATAACATATCCCAAGCAATACCTGAACTTAGCCCCTTTAGAATAGGCGCTTAGCAACACTGGGTTGTTTTAGGTGACTTGGGAATTGATAATGGGGCTTTTCAGACAGTGTGACTAGGCTTCACGATGCCACTGGATTTCACTTAGTCTTGTCTCCTATAGGAGTAGACGAACGTAGCTACAAAGAGTTGCTGGGTTTCGACAAGTCTCTTAAGATAGTATTGTTGCGGCGACTTACATTTTGTATCAAAGTGCACGGTGAATGAATTCGTTAATCTCACCGAAATACGACGGCTTATTACCGTTATTCTTTAAACGTTTGGCTTTAGTACAACGTTTAGGCTTACAGAGTCAGCGAAACATCCTCTATCATTTCGAATGAAACAGAGCTGAGCTTCCGCTCTCAGATGACTGACATT